GCTGACATCGTACCGACTAAGCGGATCCTCTTGAGTCTCATCGCTCAGGTGTTTGACCCTCTCGGACTCCTGACCCCTTTCGTAGTTGTGCTGAAATGCTTGTTTCAGGAACTATGGAACCAGAGACTGGACTGGGATGACGTTCTGTCTGACGAGCATGCTGAGCTCGTCCACAGGTGGCTCAAGGGCTGTCAGGAGCTGAAGAGGATCCGTGTGCCGCGCTGCTACGCGGCTCTGTCTGAGGTCGATTGGTCTTCCTCACCTGATCTCGACTTGCAGGTCTTCGCAGATGCCTCGCCGAAGGCCTACGGGTGCAGTGCCTATCTGCGCATCAGACAGCATGATGGATCCTTCAGCGTGTCGTTTGTGGCCTCCAAGGGTCGGGTCGCGCCACTTAGACAACAGCTGACGCTGCCTCGTTTGGAGTTGTTGGCCTGTGTGATGGCCGCTGAGATGGTGCAGTATGTGCTGAGCGCTCTGCGTTTGCCTGAATCCACTCGCTTCTCATGCTGGAGTGACTCGATGATCGCGTTGGGTTGGCTGCGTGGTCGACCCGAGAGGTGGAAGACGTACGTGGCTAACCGGGTGAAGGTGATTCAGCGACTGACCGCAGTGGAGAACTGGCATCATTGCAGATCTGGCGAGAATCCTGCCGATCTCCTGACCCGTGGGGTGTCCGCCGAGACGCTGATCACATCTTCTCTGTGGTTCAGAGGTCCGGCCTGGCTGGCTGATTCTGATAGCTCGTCCTGCTCGGAAGAGGACGAGATGTCGGCCGCTGACTCGCTTCCAGAGGAGGCCGGCGCAGGTGATGTCGGAGTCTTGACCACGGTCGTGACGGGAACCAGTGACCATGACCGCAGACTCCTGCAGGTGGACCGGTATGGGACGCTGACCAGGGCTACTCGTGTGATGGCATGGATTCTACGCTTTGTGACTAACACGAAGTCTGCTTCACAGCGTCAGGTTGGCGAGCTGACGGCTGAGGAGCTTTCAGCGGCGCGTCTACAGCTGTATCGGGAGGCGCAGGCGGGCGACTTTCAGGAAGAAGTGACGCTCCTGAGAGAGGGTAAGCAGCTGCCCAAGTCCTCTAAGATCCTGAACTTGACGCCCTTTCTGGGCGAGGACGGGCTTCTGCGTGTCCGTGGTCGGTTGCAGTTTTCAGACTTGTCGTACGAGGAGAAACATCCCGTCATTCTCCCCAAGGGTTACCTGTCTGAGCTGATCGTACGTGAGCAGCACCGTACCATGAAACACGCTGGTGTTTCTACTCTTATCACGGCTTTGAGAGCCGAGTTGTGGGTCGTGGGCCTCCGGACGATAGCGCGGCGTGTCGTGAGGGCGTGTGTGGCGTGTCGACGGCTGGCGTCACAGGCGTGCTGTGAGCCTGCCGCTCCCTTGCCGGCTGACAGGGTCACGCGGAGTCGACCGTTCCAGGTCTGCGGATGTGACTTCGCGGGTCCAGTCTACAGTGTCGACTTCCCGAACAAGAAGTTCTGGATTTGTTTGTTCTGTTGTTCACAGGTGCGGGCAGTTCATTTGGAGTTGGTTGACTCGTTGTCGTTGGATGATTTCATGCTTGCATTCCGCAGGTTCGCTGCCAGAAGAGGAGTGTACTGTGACTGTGACAATGCGAAGACTTTTCACGCGGCTGAGACGCTCCTACAGAAGTATCTAGGCCGTCTCTCTCCTAGGTTTAAGTTCTCAGCTCCTCTCGCTCCGTGGTGGGGCGGGCAGTTTGAGCGTTTGGTGGGCTGTGTGAAATCCGGTCTGAAGAGGTCCCTGGGGCAGCGGCACTTGACGAAGGCGGAGTTGGTGACTGTGCTCACAGAGGTTGAGGCGTGCGTGAATTCGCGCCCTCTGACGTTCGTGGGTGACTCAGTGGACACACCCACCCCTCTGACCCCGAATCACTTCCTCACCGGTCACAGTGTCGGCTTTCAAGCCAGACAGGCAGATGACCCGGCCGAGGTGTCAGTGGGAGAACTTCGGGCGAGATCGCAGGTGAGGGAGAAGCGCTTGCAGAAGTTCTGGGACGTCTGGAGCCAGGAGTATGTCCGATCTTTGCCGCTATCGGTGCGCAAGTTTCGGTCACAAGGTAAGCTGGCAGAAGGGGCAGTGGTCCTTCTGCAGGACGAGAAGCAGCCTCGTCTGAAGTGGGACCTGGGGGTAGTGACAAGGCTCTTCCCGGGTAGGGACGGTGTCTCCAGGTCCGCTGAAGTCAGGACAGCTAAGGGGAAAAAGACTAGGGCCGTGCAACGTCTGCATGATTTGGAGGTGCTCCCTGCTTCCGAGGATGCTTGAGCCTGATGTGCCCTCTCTGGCTCTCAGATGCCCGACTTGGTGATGTGACTTGGCGTCTGTTAGTATAAGGGTACGTGAGATGTCTCATATGTCCTGCGCACATATGAGAGGGGGGAGGATGTCGCGGACTCTGCCGCTACCGCCGCGCCGCGCGGTACGTGCTGCCATCTACCGGCCTGTCTTGAACTTACTACGGAGCGGCGGCTCCGTCATACTACGGAGCGGCGGAACGGTAGAGAACCGTTGTCATGGCGACGCGGCCAGTAGAAACCGGTAGAGTTCGTCGTCAGCTGAATGTTTATACTTTTTTGGAGGGAAAACTGTGAGATGGGGATGAAAAGATCAAAGATGTCGGACGGTCGGGTCGGTTGGTGAATTTTGTGTGTGATGTCGGTCGGTCGGTCGGTCGGTTATGTGGCATTGAGAGAAAGTGTTGGTCGGTCGGTCGGTCGGTCAGTTATGTCGGTTTGGATCGGTTGAAGATGTCGTTGTAAATAATAACGGAAGGTTTGTTTGAGAAGGTTGTTTGATACCACACCCCCGTTTACGGTACCTTTATGTTGCCTCAAATGTATCCGAGAATTTTCTCTCACGGCTTTTCACACAAATTTTAACCGAAACATACATTTCCCGGTCCCCGATCAACAGAGATGGTAGCCCAAATTTAGTTGGATATGAAAGTTCTACTAAATCCATAGGCTTTAATGGTAAATTGACTATAGTTGAGAATGGTCCATGAAGAAACATGTAAATAATCAGACATGATTTATGGCCAGACATGGAAAAAAACGAGATGCTATCTTGTAGTTTAAATCGTCTTCTATCTGCGCCTTTTTAAGTGTTTTCAATCTGAGGTACGCAAATCGTGTTCCCAAGAGACTGAAAGTAACCATGTTTTACATTGGACCCAATGGCAAAAATTCGGAATCCGACGAAATTGGCAATTTTAACGGCAGCTTTATGAAAACTCTAGATAAGAAACATAAAAACCCGAGATGCTATCAGATTGGAAATTTCGTTGTCTATACAGGGTGATCCAAAAACATTGGAACCCCTAACTTAAAATGTCCGTAAGTCCGAAAGTTTCACATTATTGACAAATTGCAAACACCATTAGAAAGAGCGTTCAATTTTCTATAAAACGAAGTTGATTGAACTTAACTATTACTATAAATATTGCCCTAGTTATATGCCTATAAAATTTGTGTCACGAAACTCACTGAAACGGTTTTGAACATTACGCGCAAATCAGTGATTTGCAGTTTGCTGTTCTGACCATGTCGCATGTTTTGGAGGTTCATGAATAAAAATAGCTCATTCACGTGCTATTGTAAGGAATTTAAAGTTCAACAGGAGCAAAAAAAAAAATAGTCATTCGGTGCTCCGTGCTACACGGCCCACTCAGTGGTCCAGTTTCTGGAAGAGGCCTGCCCGGCCTTCATCGAGCCAGATGCCTGGCCACCGAAGAGTCCTGACCTCAACCCTTTGGACTTCTTCGTGGGGAGCGAACTGGAGCGAATTATGTATAGGTAGAGGTCAGAGGATCAGCACCATAGAGGAGCTGAAGGAAAGGCTGACGGCCTGCTGGGATCAGTCGTCCCAGAGACTGCTGGCCTGCGCCGTCGGAGCCGTCCCGAAGCGGCTGCAGGCCTGCGTGACGGCCAACGGAGCTCGGTTTGAGCACATGCTGGGATGAACAGCGGAAGCTAGGACGCGTGTATCTGTTCTTTGTGTGCTTCTGTGTAAACTTTTATGTAATAAAATTGAAATTGGATGTGGTGTTATTCGCAAAAACAACAACAGATGGAGTGCTAACGGACTTCAGTGCATTGTTAACAATTGGCGATTTCGTTTCACTCAGTTTTCTGACGCTCATTCCAAAAGCTAATAGTGTGTTAATGCTTTACAACATACCTGCACTTAGGTATTTGACGTGATTTTATAGAGGATTTTATGCTCTTTCTAATGGTGTTTGCAATTTGTCAATAAAGTGAATGCTTTCGGACTTATAGACATTTTAAGTTAGGGGTTCCAATTTTTTTTTGATCACCTTGTATATTAAATTAAAAACCAAACTATATGTTACACAACTCGGTGAATTTAACACATCATGACAGTTTGAAGGAAATCAGCCCAAAACTGTGAGTTGGACAGGTGCATACATAAAATTGAAATTTGACCATGACATTGTACCGCTTTTTCTGACCTGGTGACCTGACCCAAGGTCACCCGGACCTGAAATTTTTAGGTCATGTAAAAAGGTTGGCAAATTTGGCACAGCCAAATTTGGCACAGCCAAATTTGGCGGCGCGCAGCGGCTATCTTTGAAAAACCTTAGGGAGGGGATCGCATCGCCCTGCAAGGGCGAGGGTTAAACGTTTACTGTTCAGTTCAAATGCATCCATAGGCATAGCGTTGGGATGGTTTTTAGTTTTTTATCACTTTTTGTCGGTCAAAGCCCGTTTAAGCCGGCAGCTTGCAAAAAAAAAAAACTAGTTTTTGACGGCACAAATGCCAACCCTGGGCGACACATCCAGCTCTGTGCACCTCTTTGCAGTGAAGACGTGGGCACTCAGCACACCGAAATGTGGCCGTAGCGTACCGGCCACGGCCGTCGGCTCAGTCGCCCTCGTCGGACACACAGTCAGCCGTCTGCGAGAGACTGCCGCCGCCGGCCGGGCGCCGCAGCCCAATACCTTGGCGATCGAGATGGTCTGCTGCTCCATGACCTCGTGGATGGCCGTGCGGTCGTGCTCTGCCATCTTGTCGAACTCGTCGATGCAGCAGATGCCCTGGTCGGCGAGCACCAGTGCGCCGCCCTCCAGCACCATCTGGTCGGTGAGCGGGTCCTTCATGACGGCGGCCGTCAGGCCCACACCGGACGAGCCGCGGCCCGTCGTGTACTGACTGCGCGCAGCCAACCGGTCGATGTAGCCCAGCAGCTGTGACTTGGCCACACCCGGGTCGCCCATCAGGCAGATGTTGATGCAGCCGCGGATCTTCATGCCGCGCGGGTTGGTGTCCACCCCGCCAACCAGCAGCAGCAGCAGCGCCTTCTTCACGTCCTCCATTCCGAATATTTCCGGCGCGATCGACTGGGCAATTTTCTCGTAAAAGTCATCCTGGGAGACTAGGCGAATTTCCTCCTCCGTCAGCAGGTCACAATCGGCCTCATCATCATCCGTTTTGTTCATCTGCACCACACGCTGGAATAGACCGTGGGGGGAGGGGGGGATCATCAAAGTCCGCCCGTGGCGCACCACTAACGCACCACCTCCACCAGCTGAACCCTATTAGTGGAGCGGGGGGGGGGGGGGGGCTGTTTTCATCCACCCATCAGGTTTTTCGGAATTATCTCCGAAACGACCAGAGCTCAGATGCTGAAATTTTGACTCTACCTCAAACTTAATTAGGCACATTCCATGAAAAGTTGCTAACTTTAACAGGGGGGGGGGGGGGGGGTTCCAGGGCATCGGAAATCAGGAGGTCCTATTCGCAAAGTGAGTCTTTTGGTTGAACACGGCGATGCTGATGCATTATAACTGTATCTGTATGCACCAGTTTTGTGAACAGCGACTGAAACGTACATGTGATAACATATGCACAGCGATTGTGCATCTTCTTTTTATAGGCATGTTTTTCCTATAACAGGCGGATCCAGGCATCCAAAAAGGGGGTTTCATATTGATATGCACTGTACCATTTGAAGAGCGGTTTGGTAGTAGGATTGCCCTGGAGCGATTGAATTAATCAAAGCATGTGCTCGTCAACAATTGCAAGTTGAATATAAAAAAAAATCATAGACGCGTCCAGGTGTGGGGAAGTAATTGCACACAGCGATTGTTTGCTTCTTGGATCATGACGTTCGGTTTGTAAAAGTAGCAAATGCAATAACGATTTAAACAAACATATTTTACAGGTATTATAAATCCCCAAGTGAGCAAGAGATGAATCATTAGCAGTTCCAGGAAAAAAGAAAGGGAGGTCGAGGTCACCTCCCAGCTTCGGTGCCCTGACGCCGCCTATGACTGACCAAACTAATTTTAATCATTCCATCATACGTCTGATATATCGGCAAGAACTAAGAATAAGAAGATCATCGCTAACCCGTTTTAGCGACACCACCCACAAAACCCGTACACCTAAATTCAATTGCCTGCATCCGCCTATGAATTTTCAAAATGCTTAGTTTCATGATACATGTTTTTATTGCTGGTTCATTAGTTAGTCTTGCTGCTTAGTTTTTGCTGGTTGATTCTGCACTAATCGGCAGTAAATGCGCCAAAATTGGTTCAAAAACTTGGCCGCGGTAAGAAGTAAAACAAAAAATCAAAAACTTGCAGTTTTTATCCCCTACTGCCCTATTTACTTTTTACGATATCTTTTCACCCGGCGGCCGCTGGACCTCCGCGCCACCCGCCGGCCGTTGGGGGGGGGGGGGGGGGAAAGGGGCATATAGTTTCCCCCCTTTACTTCTGCAACGATATTGTCGCAACGCGTAGAGATAGAGAAGCAAAACTTTGCACACATCTTCCTGAATATCTAGCCCAGGTTGTGCCCAAATTTGGTGTCGATCCCATTTGAAAGGACGTCACAGTGACATCAGAAGTCAAATTATAGATTTGCGTCTCTCATTTTCCTCACGATATATCCGATATATGAGACCGAATATAAAGGACCGATTATTGGTCAGGAACTAGGTGGAAGTATACATACTTAGATGTTTTAGGATGACAAGAGGTGCTCTCTAGTTTATTTAAAGTTGAGTTTCATGCTCAGCGACATCAGAAACGGTCCATATCGGAAAATGACAAAACTTTATGACGTCACTGTGACGTCATCTTAAGTGCTACAACCACCAAACTTTCCTCAAACATTGCCTAGGTATTCATTTGAAGCTATGCCAAGTTTCACGTTCGTAGCTCATCGTAGCTCATTCGTAGTTCGTACCTGACCGGAAAGGGTCATGTAGCATATCAGTCGATCCGTATCGTCAAGCTGAATACATCTGACGTGTTTTCATCGCTCTAGCACGTCTTTATCAAAAGTTATAGCCAAAAAACTGCTGGTGACCGTTCATGACCTGAGATGACCTCAGGGGCACACAGAGGGGTCACAGGTGTATTTTTCCGATTCAGTGTGTCATGTTTAACTATGAACCGATGTTTGAGAGGGTTTTGAACATCATTCGTCCAAAAGAGGCGCATTTCAATTTTCTCCCATTGACTTATAACCTTCGCCCCAGTGGGGGGGGGGGGGCATATGTTACCACCCTGTCGCGTTTTTTGCGTGTGAATAAAAAACCGCGGCGCGTACGCGCCGCTTGGGGTAGCTTTTGGTACATCAATTTTGAATAATGTGTGAAATTTTTGACCCCAGGTCATGTCAGGTCACCAGGTCAAGTTAACTGACCAAGCCCAAAAAAAAGTTTGCAATCATGTCTAGCCTGCAGTGTTTGTCAGAAAGGTTTTTAACTTGGTGGATTGCATGCTGTTATGGGCGCCTACAGTTTGTATATCTCGGATTTTTTTTATATCCGTGACCTAAGGTCAGGTCAGTGGCGTGACCTTTCCATTACAAGTCAATGGAGAAAAATGAAAATGCCTCTAGATCCGTGTGTACGCATAAGAACAGTCCAAATATTTCAAAATCACAATGATTTGGACCATCCGTGATGACCTAGGTGTCATTTTTGCTGATAGCCTCTAGAAAGGTCATCCGAGGCTACAAACAGATTTTTGCCAATAACTCGCGATTGGAAAGAGATAGAACGCTGGGGATGGTCTCATTGTGTTTGTCTTGTTGAGAAGCATCGACTGATATGCAACATGACCTTTTCCGGTCAGGTCATGACCTTGACCTGAGGTCAAATTTTCAAGTTGACATTTCAAGGTCAAATTATAGTTCATTCGACGCGTCTCGGCCAGAGGAACACGATTCTGGCAATAGAAATGTCGTGGCTTTTTGTAGTCGAAAGTTATTGTCGAAAAACACTTCGTAAAAACAGCTATTTTTGGAGTTTTTGCCCTCTGGAGGCTAAACCGTTGACCTGAGGTCAATTTTGATGATGACCTTCTCAAAAGAAGAGTTAAAAAGCTATCGATTGCTGTTCCACGCGTTTTTCTAGCTACCATAGTTCCTGAGATAACAACATGTTTTCTGAAAAATATCATGACAATTGGCAAATTTTGGCCTTTGATGACCTCTGGTGACCCCAATATTGCTCTAAGATGAAAAATGACTGAAATACTTTCAAACGTACGCATTGAGAGCTATCGACTGCTTTTTACTGCGTCTCTCTAGCCCTCTTAGTTTTTGAGTTAGAGGTGGGTGGTAACATATGCCCCCCCCCCCCCCCCACTAGGGCGAAGTTGGCTGAGACCGCCACTGCGGCGCGGGATAATGGAGAGGTCGCAAAATTGACCTGACCTTAGGTCACCGATATCAAAATTCCGAGATATACATTTTGTACATACTATTACTCTTATCAATCGCTGAAAATTTCAAGGCGATTGTTCAATTGGTGTAGCTATGACGAGGATTGAAACCTTTTCTGAGGTGAGGTCACTTGACCTGACCTGGTGACCTGACCTTGCCCTGGGTCTGAAATTTTCACATGTGTGGAAAAGATGCATGAACATTGAACAGGCGTGCCAAAAACGGCGGAGCGCCGCCGTTTTTGAGATACCTGCGAAAAAGCGCAGGGGGGCGTGTTCAAACACCCCCCCCCCCACCCCGGGTTAAGGGCGCGCCGGTAGCCAGGTGTACCTAATAGGGTGAAGGAGCGGACCGGCCCACCCAGAGGAGCCTGTACGCTGAAGACGGCGCACTGCGCCACAACCCTCACCTTGATACTGTTATGCTACAATGCTATGCATTCTCTAGTGTACTCGAAATGCCGCGGCTCTAGAGCGGGTCATGCGGCCGACCCGCGGGTGCGCGGTGGGCGGCCGTCTGCTGATATAAATGTTACCACTCTAGTGTGCCTGAAATGCCGCGGATCTAGTCGGGTCACGCGACCGCAGCGCAGCTGACCTCAGGGTCGCGCTGCCGGCGGCGGGCAGTCGCGCGCTGGGTGCCCGGACGTCAGGGCCAGCCGAGCCTCGGGTACCGAGCTAGGTGAAGCCCTGCCTCCCTGCCCTGGGACGCCAAGCAGGGTGAGTGTGTCACCCCCAAAGGGGAGACCCACACCCACCTCCACACCCGCACCCACACCCACACCTACCCCGCACCCACCCACGAACCCACACCCACACCCACCTAGGGGAGCGGCAGACGCTTTGAGCTGGTTTTGTTGCATGTAGTGTTGAGCTGGTACTCATATTTTCTTGTTTTGTTACCCCATTTGAAAAATGGGGTAGGCTGCACAAGACCTTCCACGGAGCCGCGACCCTCTGGATGATCCAGACCTGGCACCGTACCTCGTGCGCGGCGTAGATCGGTGCTAGGGTGTATCGTGTTATTTTAGAGTGTATGTATCGTGTAACTGTATCTATGTAGTGTGAATGGAGAATGCATCAAAAGGAGTCATTTTCGCATTTGTACTTTGCCCCAAATACAAAGGGCTTTTATTTGGTATCCAGTTATTTCTCGCAGCTTTGGGTCTGGACAAGCGAAAATAACAATACTGTGTCACATATCAGCAGTCCCAGGGTCGGTACAGGGGACCCAGTGTCGGTACCGTAAACGGGGGTGACTTTGCCATGTTTTCAACTTTAGACGCTTGTATTCTTTAAACTTGTTAACTTATTGGGATGACTCTATGTGCAAAACACGGATGAAGATTAGCTCTTTGGGTTTTGCTATTATCGTATTTATATCTTGCCTAAAAATATAAATTTTCAAAGAAAATGAGTCTTGGCAAAGTTAAACTGAAAAGGGGTGACTTTGCCACTATGTCAAATAATGGTTTTTTAGCGCTTGCAAATAATTTTTAAGCATTTTTGTTCCATTGTATGGAGGAGGGCAGCCATCCTTAATTGTTTAATAGGAAAAAATAAAGCAATTTGAGGTTTTTTGCTCTTGAATGATGTGCAAAAAAGGAGAAATACATTATTATTATAATACATTATATTTGTTGAAAATAATTGACATTGATAGCAAATAGAAACTGAAAAATGATTCAGAATAGATAAATAAGCAAACATATGATTGTATCGGTGCTCTATACCTTGCCGCATTCTTCCACCGGTATTGAGAGGAACAGAAAGAGGACGTTCTTGCGGCAACTTACCGGCACCCTTATTATCAGCGTTTTTGATCTATAAAATGATACATATTTCTTCAGCCAGTATTACTGGCAAACTCAGGAGTTGTAGATGATCATGACTGTGCTGAAAAGTTGGGTCCAGTTTCATCAATTTTTTAATTTGGTAATTTTTGCCTTTCTATACTCCCACTGTGCATTCCTGTGTTAACTTAAAAAATATAAACTTTCACTTTTTAAAAACCAGTTTTGAGACCAAAATGATGCTACATTAAAAATTATTTTGAATTGCATCGAATAAGTATTTCATTTTTACATTGATAACATGGTGGCAAAGTCACCCCATGTGGCCTGCAATTCACTGGGAAAAATCGCCACCAAAAATATTAGCTAAATGAAGTGACAAATGCCAGTTTTGCTGGATATGCCAACTTAACAGCCATTGATCAACCATACCCAGCTTCAGCATCGCAGTCGGTCTAAGACATGGTTAGATAATACAAAGTTCGGACATCTTCAAATTTGACCCATCTTCAAATTTGACCATTTCAATGACTCCAATAAAATGGAGCCCAGTTAGGTATTTAGTGGTAACTTACCTCTCAGTGTTGGTTATATTGGAAGGCCCATCAATTGTCTTTCATTTGTGCATAAAACATTACTACATTCTTCGTAAAATATCATTGGAGTTCTCCCTAAAGCATTTTTCGAGAAGCATGGCAAAGTCACCCCGCAAGGCAAAGTCACCCCAGTTTACGGTACAAGGGCCACAGGGTCGGTACAGCGGACCGGCCCGCACGGCGGGTACTCACGTGCGCCTCCATAAACGTGTCGCTGAGCAGGCCGGCCGTGAGCGCGGCAAAGCCGGGCGCTCGCGCCAGCGGCAGGAAGATGCCCGTGACGGCAACGTGATCGCCGGGCTGGGCGAGCCGCGTCAGCTCGCCGCTGCAGATGACCGTCATCGAGCGTGGGATGTTACCGACCGGCACCTGGTCCGACTGGCGGCCACACGTCACACGGGCTCACACCAGAGCGCCATTGGCGGCCACAGGTCACACGGGCTCACACCAGAGTGCCATTGGCGGCCACAGGTCACACGGGCTCACACCAGAGTGCCATTGGCGGCCACACGTCACACACGGGCTCACACGATTTTGTACATGCAGGGTGTCCGGAAATTATTTGCCCCTTGTTCATTCAGCTATAATCCCACCGTGCACTTTAAGAACTGTTTGAAAATTTGCTAAGATCGTGCCTCAGGCTATCCACAGCTGGCCGTTAGTCACATGACCTAACCCAGTCACCTGACCTTGACACGTGAGAGGCGCCAGGGGCCAGCATTTTGCATGTGTAACTCGCACCTGAACGTGGTGTCTACTATGACGAAAGAAACTCTTTGACAAAGCATCATCGCGCTGAAGTTATGATGAAGACTGGAATGAAGTACGAAGTCAAATCGAATCATCTCCCAATCGAAAACCTATGGGGAATCATGAAGGAGGAGCTCAGCAAGATTGAACCAGCTCCCACAGAAAACGGACTTTAGAGGAACCTGTGAAAGGTGAGGCTGAACATCAGCGCGGATACTCTAGACATCTTTATCTATGGAATGCCAAAGCGGATGAGGAAATGGGTAGGACAGGGTAGGGGATAAATTGGTAAGTAAACCATGACCCGGGGGCTCTTTGTTTATTAATTATGGCGACGAGCTGATGGCGGGGTAAATAATTTCCGGACAACCTGTATGGTGAGTTGTAATGCAATGTAATGGCGATAGTTTCTTGTCACTATCGTGAATGTAGGCGTTGGATTCGCAGTCGATCTACTATCACCGAGACTGTTTTTCATTGTATCTAAATTTGTTGCATTTTTAACCCGCGCCGGGCCGGGAGGGGGGTTTGAACACCACCCTGCGATTTTTCGCAGATATCTCAAAAACGGCGGCGCGGAACGCCGCCGTTTTTGGCACACCTGTTCGTGCATCTTTTCCGCACATGTTGTGAAAATTTCAGACCCAGGTCGCCTTAGGTCAGGTCACCAGGTCACGCCAAGTGACCTCACCTCAGAAAAAAATAAGAATGCTCGTCATAGCTACACCGACTGATCGATTGCCTTGAAACTTTCAGCGATTGATAAGAGCAACATTATCTATAAAATGTATATCTCGGAATTTTGATATCGGTGACCTAAGGTCAGGTCAATTTTGCGGCCTCTCCATTATAAGTCAATGGGAGAAAATTGAAAAGCGTCTGTTTTACACGAACGCCATTCTAGACACTCTCAAACATCGAGATGTAAGTAAAATTGACACACTGAACCGGAAAATGGCAGTTGCGCCCCTCGTTATGTCCCCGAGGTCATCTCAGGTCACGAACAGAATCTAACAGGTTTTCGCTAATAACTTCTGATAGAGGCGTGCTAGAGCGCTGAAAACGCCTTAGATGTGTTCGGCTCGACGTTGCGGATCGACTGATATGCAACATGACCTTTTCCTGTCAGGTCATGACCTTGACCTGAGGTCAAATTTTCAAGTTGACCTTTCAAGGTCAAATTATAGTTCATTCGACGCGTCTCGACGAGAGGAACACGACGCTGGCAAAAGTTATGTCATGGCTCTTTTGAGTCAAAAGTTATTGTCGAAAAAAACGCTTTTCGTAAAAACGGCTATTTTTTTTAGTTTTTGCCCTCTGGAGGCTAAACCGTTGACCTGAGGTCAAATCTGAGCACATTACTCAGAAAGGTCTGTAAAAGGGCTATCGAATGCGCTTTTCCGCGGCGCTGTAGCTCTATCGGTTCCCGAGATAGCCGTCGGCAGTTTCCAAAATGTTGAAATAGTCAACATTTTACCTTTGGTGACCTCTGGTGACCTGACCTTTGACCTGATCCAAAAAATGACCGAAGTGTTTTCGTCCTTATTTTGGACGTTCTTTCGATTGCCGCTTACCACGTGTCGCTACGTGGCCCAGGAGCCGAGTTAGAAGGGGGGGAGGGTGTTCAGACACCCCCCCCCCGGCCCGGCGCGGAATCTCAGAGCACCGGCCCGGCGCGGGTTAGGGTATTAAAAATGCTCTTCTACAGCATGCTAAAAAAAATACACAGGGTAGATTTCATTGGCGTCGTGCGCTGACGCATGAAGTACATTTTGATGAGAGAGAGAGAGAGAGAGAGAGAGAGAGAGAGAGAGAGAGAGAGAGAGAAAGAGAGAAAGAGAGAAAGAGAGAAAGAGAGAAAGAGAGAAAGAGAGAAAGAGAGAAAGAGAGAAAGAGAGAAAGGAGAAAGAGAGAAAGAGAAAAGAGAGAAAGAGAAAGAGAGAAGAGAGAAAGAGAGAAAGAGAAAAGAGAAAGAGAGAAAGAGAGAAAAGAGAAAGAAGAGAGAGAAAGAGAGAGAGAGAGAGAGAGAGAGAGAGAGAGAGAGAGAGAGAGAGAGAGAGAGAGAGAGAGAGAGAGAGAGAGAGAGAGAGAGGAGAGAGAGAGAGAGAGAGAGAGAGGAGAGAGAGAGAGAGAGAGAGAGAGAGAGAGAGAGAGAGAGAGAGAGAGAGAGAGAGAGAGAGAGAGAGAGAAGAAAGATGGAGGGAAGGGATAAGGACGGGAAGAGTAAACAGAGAGGCAGAAAAGGAAAACCAGGAAGGGTAAATGAGAGAGAGAGGGTAGGTAATGGGTAAATCAGTGAGAGGGAGCGAGAGAGAAAATATTTAGTTGTGTCAGCTTGTTTCGTATGTAAAATGTAAATTTGCTTTCCATCATTTCAGCTTCGGATTGCCGATTGGAAATTAAATCTTAGCATCCTTATGATAAACCTACGCTGACGGGATGGGGACGTTTTTTATGGTCGTCGTTGGGAGCTCGGCACTAATGGGGATGATGTTGAGGGTTTCGCAAATATTTCATATAAGAGATGATATTTTTTGCATTACCTATTAAACATTTTTTTTTACGTTTGCTATGAAAATGTTAGGCCCATTTCATCCCGAGTGCTGAGGGGGGGGGGGGTGGCGTTTCACGCCCCTCCGTCTAACTCGGCTCCTGGGCCACGTAGAGCGACACGCGGTAAGCGGCAATCGAAAGAGCGTCAAAAATAAGAAGGAAAACACTCGGTCATTTTAAGGTTAGGGCAAAGTTCAGGTCACCAGAGCTCATCAAAGGCAAATTTTGTCGATTTCAACGATTTTAAACATTCGACGGCTAACTCTGGAACCAATAGAGCTACAGCGCCGTGTAAAAGCGCATTCGATAGCTCTTTTAACGCTCTTTCGCCAACATGTCCTCAAATTTGACCTCAGATCAACGGTTAAGCCCCCAGAGGGCACCGCTCTGATTGACCTCAGATTTGACCTCAGATCAACGGTTTAGCCCCCGTGTTTTCACTGCTCTAACAAAAGTTAGTGTCAAATCAAAAGTTATAGTAAAAAAAACTGCTGAAGACCTTTCATGACCTGAGATGACCTCAGGGGCACACAGGTGCAATTTTCCGATTCAGAGTGTCATGTTTACATATGAACCGATGTTTGAGAGTGTGTAGAACGACATTCGGCCAAAAGAGGCTCATTTCAATTTTCTCCCATTGGCTTATATGGAGCTGTCGCAAAATTGACCTGACCTTAGGTCACAACTCACAGATATAAAAAAAATCCGAGATATCCATTTTATACATAGGTACTGTTACCCTAGGCACGTACTGAAAGTTTCAAAGTGATCGCTCAGTCGGTGTAACTACAGCGAGCTTTCTAACTTTTTCTGAGTTAAGGTCAATTGGCGTTACATGGTGACCTGACCTTGAATGACCGGGATCTGAAATTTTCATAGCATGTGCGAAAAAGATGTCGGAACGGGTGTAGGTATCTAAAACAGCGGCGCTACGCGTCGCCGTTTTTTGAGATATTCGCGAAAAATCTAGGGGGGGGGGGGCGTAAAAACGCCCCCCCCCCCCCCAGGACGGCGCGGATCAAACGGCCCCTGAGACCTTGGGATGGTGCCCCTGAGACCTTGGGATGGTGCCCTTGAGACTTCGAGATGGTGCCCCCTCAGACCCGGGGGAGAGTGCTCCTTCAGACCTCGGATTTCGGAAAAGTGCCACTGGAAACTTGGAACGGTGCCCCCGGAGACCTCGGGATGGTGCCCCCAGACCTCGCGATGGTGCCGCCGGAGACCTTGGGATGGTGCCCTCTCCGACCTTGGGATGGTGCCTGCGGAGAACTCGGGATAGTGCCCCCTGAGAACTCGAGATGGTGCCCCCGCGGACCTCGGGATGGAAATAGATGGACAATATTAAACTAAAAACTAAAAAACTCAACTAAACTAAAAAAAACCCGAGGCGAGGGACAGAAATGGGACTCCGGGAGACCCCGAAAACGGTACCCTATTCCGATAGACCTTCTGGATGGTGCCCCCTTAGGAGACCTCTGGGTTAAAGCTCCCGTCGGTGACCTCCGTGATGAATTAAAAAAAAACCTCCGTGATGGGCCCCGGGAGGCCCAAGGGGGGAGAATGGCCCCCATGGCCTCTCTCTGGATCCGACACTGAAATGATCTGGCCCAAGATCTTACCTAAAAAAAACCAAAAGCCTTCCTTCATTGTCCGAAAACCGCTGACAGTTGATAGCTCAATGACACTAGAGCCGTGCATAAGGAGGCGTGAAAACACTCCTCATCTCGATCTATTACGAGAGGACCATGTCATGGCGTGAGAAAGGTGTTCTCAAAATAGATGACACTGTATGAATGAGTAAATAATTCGCGCCCCGTTGGGCTATTGGCGGACCCTACCACCTGATGGGGTGGTGCAGCCGTTTCGTCCTCCACCTGAGATCTCGGAAAGTTACCGACCGATTTTGAAAATTCGAAGAACGTTCGATAGCCCCACCAGGGGCTATCGAACCTTGTTACCAGGTTTCGTTGACCTAGGTGCAACCCATAACGTCACAAGTCAGGTCAAAGGTTGCATTTTTTTACCGATTTAGTCTAAATAATGCGTTACAGTCAGTTAACACATCAAATAAAAGG